GTGTGTGTGTGTGTGTGCGCATGTGTTTGAGCGTATGTTTGCTGTTGCACATGTGTTATCGTGCATGCATGTTTTGTCATGTGCATGAGGGTGTGTGTGTGTGCATGGCTCAAGCGTATGTTTGGTGTTCCCATGTGTATATGAGCAAGGGAGCATGGTTTCTCACGTGTGCGTGTGACCACGTGTGCATGTGTGTGTGTGCATGCATGTGTGTGCGTGTGACGTGTACATGTGTGCGCGTGTGAATGCATGCATGTGTGCATGTGACCACGTGTGCGTGTATGTGTGTGAGCGTGTGTGTGTGACTGCACATGTGCGTGCTCTGTGTGCACCCCTCTGTGTATAGGTGACCATGAAAGCGTGTGTGTGGTCGACACCATCTCTGCTGAGGGTGGCTGCCCGGCCCCTCGACTTTCCATGCTCACGTCCAGTAGCCTCAGTCCCACCTGTGAGCAGTCAGTGGCGCCCAGGCCTGCCTCACCGCCCTCCCCCGCCTTCCCCTCTCTCTGCAGTCAAGCCAAGCCAGACCCTGCAGCCGAAGGACAAGTGAAGCAGCCCCCCGGGCCTCGCAAGGACCTCCCAGCTGGTGAGGAGGGGGCCGCGCCGGGCTCCCAGGCCTCCACAGAGCCTTCAGCGCATCTCTCGACGGCAGCCTCCGCCAGTCCCTCGGGTCCAGGCAAGGCCCTGGGGGTCTCCTTAAATGCCACCTCGGGCAAGTCCCAGTCCCAGTCCTCGGCCACCCCCAGCTCTGAATCCCAGGGCCAGCTGCCCTCCGGCTCTGGCCGTGGCAAGGCCCAGGGCCAGCGTCGGGCACGGGTCAGCTCCCAGCGGTCTCGGCAACGCACCCAGCTGCCTGGTACTTCCTCCGGCCCCTCCCAGTCAGCCCTCCCGTCCTCGAGGCCCCTGCAGCCACCCACCGTCACCTCCAGCCCGGTCTCACCCATGGTCCAGTCTCCCAGCAGCAGCAACGTCCCCACGCAGCCTCCCAGCAAACCCCCTGGCGAGCCAGAGGACACAGCCCCCAAGACCAGCAGACAGCGCCAGAAGCAATCCACGAAACAGCCTGCCAGCAGCACCTCAGTGCCCGAGCTGGTCCCCTGCCACTCCGGGACCTCTCTGGAGTACACTTCGGAGTCCACCACCGAGATCACCTGCAGCTGGCCACACCACAGGCCCCCGTGCCTGCAGCACTACTGGTGCCTGAAACACCTGGCCTGCTAGGAGGCTCCAATAAAGCTAACCCGGACCAGACCTGCGCTCCACCTGTGCTGGGGGCCCGGGGGAGGGTCTGCGAGGACACTGTTCCATTTAATCAGGCACGTCCCAGCTGTGCCGACCAGTGCCATAATATAGATGAGGAGACTGAGGCCCAGAGGCTAATTCACCCACTCAAGGTCCACCTGCATGGCCAGGATGGGTGCAAGCCCCGGAAATGCTTGTCCTTAACCTCAGTGCTTTCTCCCCTCCCTCCCGAGCTAGTTGTCTGGCCCATTTGCATTAGCCTGCTTCTCTTAAAACTCCCCCAGGTGGGCGCAGTGGCTCAGGCCTGTAATCCCAGCACTTTGGGAGGCCGGGGCGGGTGGATCACCCGAGGTTAGGAGTTCAAGACCAGCCTGGGCAAAATGGCGAAACCCTGTCTGTACTAAAAAATACAAAAATTAGCCAGGCATGGTGGTGGGCGCCTATAATCCCAGCTACCCCGGAGGCTGAGGCATGAGAATTGCTTGAACCCAGGGGACAGAAGGAGTTGCAGTCAGCTGAGATCGCGCCACTGCACTCCAGCCTGGGCAACAAGAGCAAAACGGTCTCAAAAAAAAAAAAAAAAAAAAAAAAAAAGCAGGATAAACCACAAACCCTGATATTATATTTGTCCAAGGGGCCATAACTCAATTAATCTCAACCCAGAGCTATTTTGTCCCCAGGCCTCTGGGTCTAGTCTGGAGATACCTTTTTTTTTTTTTTTTTTTTTTTAATGAGACAGGTTCTGGCTTTGTTGCCCAGGCTGGAGGGCAGTGATTTAATCATGGCTCGCTGCATCCTCAGCCTCCTGAGCTCAAGAATTCCTCCTCCCTTGGCCTCCTGTGTAGCTGGGACTACAGGCGCGCACCACCATGCCTGGCCATGATCACTGCACTCCAGCCTAGGCAACGGAGCAAGACCTTGTCTCCAAAAGAAAAAAAAAGAGTGGTCAGCCGGGCGTGGTGGCTCACACCTGTAATTCCAACACCTTGGGAGGCCAAAGCAGGCGAATGACCCAAGGTCGGGAGTTCGAGACCAGCCTGGCCAACGTGGTGAAACACTGTCTCTACTTATAAATACAGTAATTAGCCACGCATGATGGCACATGCCTGGAGTCCCAGCTACTTGGGAGGCTGAGGCAAGAATCACTTGAGCCTGGGAGGCAGAGGTTGCAGTGAGTGGAGATCGTGCCATTGCACTCCAGCCTGGGCGACAGAGTGAGACTCTATCTCAAGAAAAAAATAAAAAGGCTGGGTGGGTGGCTCACGCCTGTAATCCCAGCACTTTGGGAGGCCGAGGTGGGCGGATCATGACGTCAGGAGATCAAGACCATCTTGGCCAACATGGTGAAATCCCGTCTCTACTAAAATACAAAAAATTAGCCAAGTGTGGTGGCACATGCCTGTAATTCCAGCTACTTGGGAGGCTGAGGCAGGGGAATTGCTTGAACCCGGGAAGTGGAGGTTGTAGTGAGCCAAGATTGCACCAGCCTTGCAACAGAGCAAGACATTTTCTCAAAAAAAAAAAAAAAAAAGTGTTCCAGGCAGAGGGCACAGCCTGTACAAAGGCCTTGAGGCAGGACCATGCTGGTGAGTAGGAGGCACAGAGGGGAGGCTCCTGTGGCTGGAGCAGAGAAGGGGAGGGCAGGGAGGAAGGAGGTCAGGGAGGAGGGAGGTCAGGGAGGAAGGAGGTCAGTCAGGGAGGAGGGAGGTCAGGGAGGAAAGAGGTCAGGGAGGAGGTCAGTCAGGGAGGAGGGAGGTCAGGGAGGAGCAAGGTCAGGGAGGACAGAGGGCAGGGAGGAGGGAGGGCAGGAAGGAGGGAAAAGGGGAGTTTTGGGGGCTGCACCACACAGGCACTGAGAGGGCATGGGGGCACTTTCTCTTTTTTTTTGAGACGGAGTTTCACTCTTGTTGCCCAGGCTGGAGTGCAATGACATGATCTTGGCTCACTGCAACGTCTGCTTCCTGGGTTCAAGCGATTCTCCTGCCTCAGCCTCCTGAGTAGCTGGGATTACAGGCACCTGCCACCACGCCCGGCCCGGGACTTTGTCTTTTACTCAGGGTGCAGGATTTATCAGAGCAAAGAGCAAAGGTAATCATTAATCACCCCCGACCCTATGTCGGTGACCACACGGGGATGGCAGACCGGGCTGTTGGGATCTGCCGATCACTGGCCCGGCTGCTTTGAAGAATGTGGTCTGGTCATGGCCCCAAGGGAGGAGAGAGGGTGCCAAGCTCGCTCTGCACCTGGCATGGTCCCTCTCTTTTTCTTTTCTTTTGTTTTTTTTGAGATGGAGTCTTGCTCTGTTGCCCAGGCTGGAGTGCAGTGGCGCGATCTCTGCTCACTGCAAGCTCCGCCTCCCAGGTTCAAGCAATTGCCCTGCCTCAGCCTCCCAAGTAGCTAGGACTACAGGCACCTGCCACCACACCTGGCTAATTTTTTGTATTTTTAGTACAGACAGGGTTTCACCATGTTAGCCATGATGGTCTTGATCTCCTGACCTCAAAGTGATCCACCCGCCTCGGCCTCCCAAAGTGCTGGGATTACAGGCATGAGCCACTGCGCCCGGCCTTTATTATTTTTTATTTTTTTTATTTTTATTTTTTATTTTTTTGAGACAGAGTCTCGCTCTGTCACCCAGGCTGGAGTGCAGTGGCGCGATCCCGGCTCACTGCAAGCTCCGCCTCCCGGGTTCACGCCATTCTCCTGCCTCAGCCTCCCAAGTAGCTGGGACTACAGGCACCCGCCACCTCGCCCGGCTAGTTTTTTTTGTATTTTTTTTAGTAGAGACGGGGTTTCACCGTGTTAGCCAGGATGGTCTCGATCTCCTGACCTCGTGATCTGCCTGTCTCGGCCTCCCAAAGTGCTGGGATTACAGGCGTGAGCCACCGCGCCTGGCCCATTGTGTCATTCTTATGTCTTTGCAGCCTCATAGCTTAGCTATGACCCCTTAGATAGGGGGTTTCACTCTGTGACCCAGGCTGGAATGCAACAGTGCAACCACAGCTCACTGTAGTCTCGACCTCCTGGACTCAAGCAATTCTCCTACCTTAGCTTCACAAAGTGTTGGGATTATAGGCATGAGCCACCACAGCTGGCCTAAAACGGTAAATGGAGGCTGGGCTCGGTGGCTCATGCCTGTAATCCCAGCTCTTTGGGAGGCTGAGGTGAGCAGATCACCTGAGGTCAGGAGTTAAAGACCAGCCTGGCCAAATGGTGAAACCCTGTCTCTACTAAAAATATAAAATTAGCCAGGCATGGTGGCAGGTGCCTGTAATCCCGGCTACTCAGGAGGCTGAGGCAGGAGAATCACTTGAACCCGGAAGGCAGAGGTTGCAGTGAGCCAAGATTGCGCCATTGCACTCCAGCCTGGGCGACAAGAGCAAAACTCCGTCTCAAAAAATAAATAAAAATAAATAAAAGGAGGAAAGAGTGGCAGCCGAGTGCCGTGACTGACACCTGTAATCCAGCGCTTTAGGATGCTGAGACAGGAGATTCGCTTAAGGCCAGGAATTCAAGACTAGTCTTCGCAACATAGAGAGACACCCTCTGTACCCAAAATAAAAGAAAAATCAGCCACACATGGTGGCATGCACCTGTAGTCCTAGCTACACCGGAGGCTTAGTCAGGAGGATCACTGGAGCCCGGGAGGTGGAGGCTGCGGTGAGCTATGATGGCATCGTTGCAATCCAGCCTGGGAGACACAGTCAGACCCTGGCTCTAAAAAACAAAAATAACAAAGATACCAGAACGTTCACTAGTTGGCTTTAAAGCTAAAGCGCAAATCTGGAGACGGTTTATTGCCGATTGTTATTGTTACGTGGTTCTTACTGGAAACAATGTCGTCATTTTCAAATCATGCTGGGGTCCTCTCGCCCACTAGGAATGGCGTGCTCCTGGTGGTGGGGACTGTGGGACAGCCTCATGCGTGTTTCTCCCTGGTCTCAGGCACAGCCTGGGGTCCCTGTTGAGGAAACCCTCTGAGTGTCAGCTCCCCTGGCGTGTTGGGCAGCCCCCAGAGTGACTGTCTGAGATCCAGGCGCCAGGGCAATGTCGGAGAGAGACCTGAAACCTCCATTCCCTGGCACACCCCAAACCACAGCCGGGGAGAGGGGACAGCCTTGCAGACTAGTTGGGGAGGGAGGGCAGTGGGGGCCCGGCAGGCACCGACAGTGGCCTCAGGAGCCAGTGCTGTCACGAGGAGGCCTGCGAGAGGGGCCCGCGTCCATGGGGAAGCGAGTGCCCACGCGGAAGTGGGCTCAGGGCACCTGGGCTGCAAGCCACGCGGCGCGCACGGAGTCCCTTCATGCCCCATCCTGCCGCCAGGGGGCACTGCGGCCCCACGCAGCCCTGCAGTACCCGCGGCCCTTGGCTGGGGAGCTCCTGGGACCCCGGCCGGCAGCGCTTGCTGCAGATGTCAATCACAGAAGGCACCGCATCACTGAAGCGCCGGCCGTCCCAGGCTGCGCTGGGTCCTTGGTATGCCGTCGGTGTTCAATAAGCACTTGCTGCAGAAATGTCTGAAGGAAGAAAGGGGGCTAGGGAAGGGTTCCAGGAAAGAGTAACTCCCATGTCAGAGCTGGGAGGGGTTTCGAGGGCGCCATTCACTGAGGGGGAAACTGAGGCCAGAGAGGGGCTGCACCTGGCCTGGGGTCACCTGCAAGATCAGGGGCCGAGTCCACCGATGTCCTGCATCCCTCGCCGACTCCCTCTGCCTCAGCAGCCTCCTTGCCCTTCATTCTCTCTGGCTGCTCCCTGCCTGGTGGGGGCAGCTTGTCCGTGCCCAGTGGTCGGCGGGAACCCACGGACCCCAGGCATCCCAGGCCCCAGAGAGAAATGCAACCACTGGTCCCACACAGAGCGGTTTGTCCCAGGTGGCAGCGTGAGCCATCCATCAGGAGTGAGAGGCAGAGGGTTGGCACCCCATAGGGGAGGGTTTACTGAGTGAACTCGTGACACCCCCTAGCACACACACAGCCCATGTCGGCCCTCCTGGTTGCAGAAGAACACAGCGGGCTGGCAGCCCACAGACAGCAGCGGCTCTCACCTACCTCCTCAGCTGGGGAGGGGCTCCCAGGGTGGGCCTGAGAAAGTATGTGGCAGTTGGGGGAAGCTCAGGACCTATCAAAGCTCCATTCATTCCCCACCTGCTCCTATCCTCATCTATTCCCTGACCTCACCCCACACAGGGTCAGATGTGCAGGGAGGAGGTGAGGCTGGACCGGGAGGAGGGGTGGGGTGCGCGTGAACACGTGTGCCTGTCCATGAGCAAAATGGAGACGGGGTTCTACCGGCGCGTCCCTGAGTCTCTGACCGACTGCATGTGATGGGGGTGCTTAAAAAAAAGTGCTCCAGGCCGGGTGCGGTAGCTCAAGCCTGTAATCCCAGCACTTTGGGAGGCCGAGACGGGCGGATCGGAAGGTCAGGAGATCGAGACCATCCTGGCTAACATGGTGAAACCCCGTCTCTACTAAAAAATACAAAAAAAAAAAAAAAAAAAACTAGCCAGGCATGGTGGCGGCGCCTATAGTCCCAGCTACTCGGGAGGCTGAGGCAGGAGAACGCCGTAAACCCAGGAGGCGGAGCTTGCAGTGAGCTGTGATCCGGCCACTGCACTCCAGCCTGGGTGGCAGAGCGAGACTCCGTCTCCAAAAAAAAAAAAAAAAAAAAGTGCTCTGCAGCCATAAAAAAGAATGAGTTCATGTCCTTTCCAGGGACATGGACGAAGCTGGACGCCATCGTTCTCAGCAAACTAACACAGGAACTGAAAACCAAACACCGCTTGTTCTCACTCATAAGTGGGAGTTGAACAACGAGAACACATGGACACAGGAAGGGGAACATCACACACCGGGTCCTTTGTGGGGTGGGGGCCAAGGGGAGGGAGAGCATTAGGACAAATACCTAATACATGTGGGGCTTAAAACCTAGATGACGGGTTGATGGGTGCAGCAAACCACCATGGCACATGGATACTAATGTAATAAACCTGCACATTCTGCACATGTATCCCAGAACTTAAAGTAATTTTTTTAAAAAGTGCTTGTAAAAATTAAAGAGGAATAAAAGGGGGGTGAACAGCCAGTATGATAGTGCATGCCTGAAATTCCAGTGCTTTGGGAGGCTGAGGCAGGAGGATCATTTGAAGCCAGTAGTTGGAGAACAGTGTGGGCAACATAGCAAGACCCCCTCTCTACAAAAAATTTAAAAGGTAGCCGGGCATGGTGATTCACACCTGTAGCTCCAGCTGCTGTGGAGGCTGAGGTGGGAGGATCGCTTGAGCCCAGGAATTCGAGGCTGCAGTGAGCAATGATTGCACCACTGCACTTCAGTCTAGGTGACAAAACAAGGCTGTGTCTCAAACAAAAAAAAAAAAAAAAAAAAGAGGAGGGGAGGGGTGAGCATATTGATGGGCAGAAATCCAGCCAGAGATGCTGAGGCTGGAAAGATTGTCTCTGAGTTTCCCAGTAGCCAGGGGAAAAGGGGAAATTGGTACGTTACAGTGCCTGGTTAGGCATGTCTTCTAAGGGGCATGCCTGTTTGTGACAGTGTCTCTGCTCTTGACACACGAGGGTGAGTGTGAGTAGCAGAGAGGAGAGACAGCACAGTGTCTGGGAATTAAACAGATGAGTTTCCGCGTACCCAGGGCAGCAGGGTGTCATGCTCGTTCATGACAGTGTCTCAAAGTGAGTGTGACGCAAAGAGAATGAAAGCAGAGTTAAACTTTCTGAGTATAAATAGCTAGGAGCTTCCTGGCAGCCAAGGAGAGAAGCGAAATACAAGTCAGAGTCTCTTCAGTGTCTCCTCACCAGTGCCTGCCGGCTTGTGACAGTGACTCCAACTGCATGCAGAGGTGTCTAAGTGTGTGCGGGAGGGAGTCACATAGCTGCACAGGTGGGACATATGTCAGAGCTGCCTGGAAGCCAGGGTGAGAGGGGAAATACGCTGACGTTGAGACTGGTCAGATGTATCTTTCTTGCTGTGTGTGGCCAGGGCTCCTTCGGGGGCTCAGATAGGACAGCGTCGGGCAGTCAGGCGTACGCGGCTGTCCTCCGCGGGGCTCCAGGGCCGGGCGTAGCCGGCATGGGGCAGCAGCAGCCGGTCCTGTGTGCCGTTGGGGCTCACAAGGCGCTGGACAGCCAGCAGGTAGTCCCGGTGGGGTGCCAGCATCGGGCAGGGGCAGTGGCCTGGCGCCCACACGTACTCGCGGGCCCGCAGTGGCGAGCGGTTCTTGTAGACGAGCTGTATGCGTACCTCGTAGCGGGTCTCCTGGGCCTGGCGGTGGCGGCCCAGCACTCGGGCCTGGAACACTGTTGGGGGTCATGCTGAGCTGGCTGGCTGCTCAACTCTGCGCAAATCTCCACGCCCCACCCACATTGCCAGAAGAGGGGCTGAGGGTCAGGTGGGACCTCGGGATCTATAGGGACTGGAGTCAGGATCACGTGAGGGATCAATGAGTGGTTAGGGTCAAGAGGCAAATTAGGGTCAGAAGAAAGGGTCAAGGGTAAAGTCAGATTAGGGTCAGAGGTCAGCAGGAGGCCAGGTTAGTAAGGGCTAAGTGAGAGTAGGGGTCGGGGGTCTCACCAAAGTCACTGCCGCAATAGTGGAGCAGTCGGTGGGCGCGGCCTCGGGTGTCAGGGCAGGGTGGGCAGGGGTCTGTGGGGTGGGCGGTGCTGTGAGGGGCAGAGGCCTCAGCCCCCACTCATTCCCCACCCTGGCTGTCCCCACCTCACCTGGGGCCAGGGTTGGGGTCCGTGCAGGGATGACAGCAGGGGCTGCGGGGGGCTGAGGCTCCACCTCCCGGGGCTGCGGCTGCCGCAGGGGCCAGCCCAGGGCCTGCACCCGAGCCTGGAAGGGGCTGTAGCGCTCCTGAGGGAGCCAGAACTCAAACTCGATGCCGGGGTTGGGCTCCTGCAGGAGGACCTGGAGCAGGGGAGGGCGCACAGGGAGCTTCACCAGAGGCTGGGGTTGCCTCCTCCCTCTGATCCTATGACCCCAGCCTCCCCGCTTTGACCCTGTGTGTCCTCAGCCTCCCTCCTCTGATGCTCTGTCCCCAGCTGATCCCCTCTGACCCCAGACTCCCCCTTCTGGCCCCAGTCACCCTCACTCTGACCCTCTGTCCCCAGCGTCCCCGCCCCCGTCCGCAGCCAACCCCCTCTGACCCTCTGTCACCAGACTTCCCCCTCTGACCCTGTCCCCAACCGCCCCCCTCTAAACCTGTCACCAGCCTTACCCCTCTGACCCTGTCCCCAACCGCCCCCCTCTAAACCTGTCACTAGCCTTACCCCTCTGACACTGTCCCCAGCTGACCCCCTTTGACCTTGTCCCCAGCCTCCCCTGTCTGACCCTCTGTTCCCATCCGACCCCCTCTGATACCCTGTCACCAAACTCCCATGACCCTGGCCCCAGCCGACACCCTCTGACTCTGTCACCAGCCTCCCCTCTCTGACCTTGTCCCCAGCTTCTCCCCCTGACCCTCTCTCACCAGCCTCCCCCCTCTGACCCTCTTGGAGTCCCGGTGGCACCTGTAGGAGCAGGTTATGAGAGGTGGGCCCGGCTGCTTGCAATGTCTCCTGGGGCCCTGCGTCACGGGTGTAGACCACATGGGTGCCGGCCGCCTCGTAGGTCCCCGGCGGGCTGACCGCCCAGTCCCCGTTAAGCACGTAGCGCCCATCGCCCCCTATCAGCGCTGCAAGGGAACAGTCAGCCCTCAGGAACCTGTCCATCTCGTCTCCCAGACCCTGGGGTCCCCTCCTCAGGCCTCAGTCTCCCCATCTGTAAACAGGGACAACGGCCCACGGGCGGCCTGCAGGGTGCCTCCCGCCTCACACCCTAGGATACCCAGGTGGTTGCGGCTCCGGTGTGCCACGCGGATGTGTCTAGCGCCCTCGGGGATCAGGGTCACGTTCCAGTACCCAGCGAAGGCACCTGGGTGGGAGGGTAAAAGGGTGTTGGGGTGCCAGTGGGGGTGTACTTGAGCGATGACTTGAAGATGAAATGAGCTACTGAGGGTAAGACAGCTAGCCAGGGTCCTGGGAACCGGAAAACCCGCCGTAAACGGTTGGAGTTACAATTACTATTGCTTCAGTGTGGCAGGGAAAGCGTTAAAACCCCATCTGTTCTGGGGAAGGGCGGGACAATCTGTCAGTAGCCAATCAGGATGAGGAGAAAGGGGGGCTGGGCCGCACACTGGCCAATCAGCACGGAAATTTGCTTCCGGGCCACAGCTTGTTAAAGGGCCCGCTCTGACGCGTGCAGGGAGGACGGGATAGGCAGTCACCGGCGTCACGAAACACGCGCTGCACGAAAAGGCACGAGTCGTTGGCGCCTCCACAGCGGCCGCAGCGGTCCTCTAGGGCACCTGAGCCTAGCAACCCATCACAGCCGGGGCTCTAAAGGGTGAAGGACAGGCGCGGCGTCACTGACGCTGGGAGGGCCAGAACCTGGGGAAAAGGCAGTGCCTGGGAGCAAGAGGACAAGGCCCGGAGGGAAGATGGGGGTGGAGCCTAGGGAAGAGCAGGACCTGGAGGGAGGAGGATGGGCGTGGTGCCCAGGGGGTTGGTGCCTAAGCTGGGGCTGGGGGCGAGGCTTGGAAGGGGAGGGGAAGGGGTGGAGTCTAGGGAAGGGGTGGAGTCTAGGGAAGGGGTGGAGGCTAATGGGAGGGTGGAGGTGGAGCCCAGGGAGGAGGCTGTGGGTGGAGCCTGAGTGGAAGGTGGGTGGGGCTCGGGCGGGGCCTGGCCAGTCCTTACAAGGCAGCGTCCAGCCACGCAGACGCCCTGGGCACCCGGACTGCAGGCGGTGCCATCCAGGACGCGGCCGAAGCTGTGGTAGAAGGCGTGCCCCTCGGCCAGGCAGTTGAGGTCACACTGGTTGGGCGCTGAGGGCGGGAGGAGTCAGTGGGCCGGGGACCCCTATTCGAGTTCCAGGCCCCCTCTACCAAACTTCATCAGGCGACCATCACCTTGGGCAGATGAAGCCCAGAGATTCAGCCAAAGCCACACATTGAGGCTGAGGCAGAGCCAGGACTGGACCGTAGGTGCTCTGCCTCCAGCAACCTAGGACTCCCAGGCAAGTATCCTGGGGCTGCATTCATTCATTCATTCATTCATTCATTCATTCATTCATAGTCTTTATATTAGGAGTCCTTACATATTATTCATTTTTAACACCATTATTCATTCTTCATTCCACTGAACACCTACTGCTTTCCAGACACTGTTCTAAGCTCTAGGATACAGAAGCAAGAACTCTATCAGTGTGCAGATGGATGACCTTAAAAAACGCCAGGTGCGGTGGCTCACGCCTGTAATCCCAGCACATTGGGAGGCTGAGGTGGGCAGATCTCCTAGGCCAGGAGTTCAAAACCAGCCTGGGCAACATGGCGAGACCCCATCTCTACCAAAAATACAACAACAAAAAATTAGCTGGGCTTGGTGGTGGGAGCCTGTAACTCCAGCTACTTCGGAGGCTGAGGCAGGAGAATAGCTTGAACCAGGGAGGTGGAGGCTTCAGTGAGCCGAGATCATGCCATTGTACTCCAGCCTGGGTGACAGAGTGAGACTCCATCTCAAAAAAACAAAAAAACAAACAAAAAAGATCTGAGCACCTGGCCCAAGCACCTAGGAAGTGCCCAGTGAAGTGTGTGTCCAGTACTGACTGGACTGAGTCCCGCACAACTGAGGTGTGTCGCTGGTCCTCCCTGGGCCTCAGTTTCCCCTTCTGCCTGGAAGTGGGGCAAAAATGGGCTGTCTGATCATATACACACAGTCTGACTGCCCTGATTTCCACTCCTCCTTCTCTCCAGCTCCTTTTGGCTCTCATTTCCCTGAGTCTGGCTGGTGGACCCTGCCAGGAACGGAACCTGGGCTGGCCCCAGTGGGCCTCTGCGAGGGTGCGATCACAGCAGGTTTCCTCCAATTCTCAGAAGGAAGGAAGGAAGGAGGGAGGGAGGGAGGGAGGGAAGGAAGGAAGAAAGGAAGGAAGGACGGAAGAAAGGAAAGGAGGGAAAGAAGGAAGGAAATGAGGTTGATGGATGGCACTTCGTTCATTCTAGGCTTTTCTTCTATCTGTGTCTGCCTTCCCCATGGCGTGTGAAGCTGCCTGTCTCCCTGAAATCTGGAGGCGCACTGCCCCGGGCACATAGTTATATAACTTGCTATTTTCAGCTCAATGCAGCAACATTTCCTGCTACTGGGATAAGTTTGAGAACTGTTGGCCTCTGGATACAGCTCTAAGTCAATCCTCAGTCGGAATCCTCAGCATGAACCCTGCTTCCCTCTGCCCCTGTTTCACGCCTAACATATGCTGTTTCTGTTTCACTTCACCAACTCCTACATATCCTTCAAAACCCTAGTGCTAATACCCTTGTCTCTTTGCAACGCTCCAAGTCCCTCTCCTTAAGAGTAATGAGTTGTTCACTCTGGACCAGTTCTGACCACAGGAGACCAGGCTACTCACCCCCATGGAAGGGCACCCACTGGTAGGTCTTCTGGGTGCCCAGGACAGGGCGGCCATTGTACAGGGCACACTGTAGGTCTCGGAAGGGCACAGCTCCTGGGGGGCAGTCCTAGTGACAGAGATAGGTGAGCCAGAGGCTGGGACAACCCAAGGGGCAGGTGGCCGGCTTCAGGCAGCCTGGGGTGGGAGGTGGTCTGAGAGGTGGGCAGGACTTACTGGCAACTGGCAGAGGCGGTACTCATGGGAGTCTCCCCAGCACGGGTCTTCCCCAGGAAGCCTGCAGGGAGCCAGAGTGTGGTGAGAACCCCCAGGGACCCCCTCCTGGGGCTGGCCTTCCACCCTCTGCCCCCGCCAACCCCACCCACATTCCAGTGGGATCAGCGGGATTAAAGGGCACAGCATGTGTGGGCAGGCCGAGGGTGTGGCCACGGGCCGGGCTGGGCCAGCGGGGGAGGAGGGGCAGGGACCCCCTCCCAGCCCCAGCCCCAGCCCGCTCACCGGAGGCAGCGCCGGCTGCGCACGGAGACGCCACGCCCGCAGGAGCTGGAGCAGCGGGTCCAGGACACCCACGGGGTCCACTCACCCGGACCCTACTTGGGGAGACAGAGGCAAGGTCAGCCTGGTGGAGAGATGCTGGTGACCCCACAGTGCTGGCTGGGTCCCCATGCCCACTCGCCACCCCCTGGGCTCATGCCCCCCCTTACCTGAGCACTGACCCCCAAACCGCAGTTCAGCAGGGCCCACAGGAGGAGCAGGAGGTTCTGGAAGAGGCAGGGCCTGGGGAACAGAGGGGCTGAATCCATGGAGCCACCGCCAGAGACACAGGATTGTGTCCTGGCTCTGTCCTGACTGGCTGTGTGATCTTGGACAGTAACTAAACCTCTCTGAGCCCTACTTCTCCTCTGAAAAACAGGGTAATAGAGCCTCCCTTACAGGAAAGTTGAGGGGTCCTGTGGATCAGATAAAGAAGACAGGAGGCATGGAGCCCGGTATGGAGAGGAAGAACTCAGAATGTCATCTGCAATTATTGTTGTTGTTGTTTGTTTTGAGATGGAGTCTCGCTCTGTCGCCCAGGCTAGAGTGCAGGGGTGCAATCTCGGCTCACTGCAACCCTCCCCTCAAGTGATTCTCCTGCCTCAGCATCCTGAGAAGCTGGGATTACAGATGCCCGCCACCACGCCCTACTACTTTTTGTAGTTTTAGTAGAGACAGGGTTTCACCATCTTGGCCAGGTTGGTCTCAAACTTCTGACCTCAAGTGATCCACCCGCTTCGGCCTCCCAAAGTGCTAGGATTATAGGCATGAACCACTGTGCCCAGCTTGCAATGTCATTGATATGTATATTGTGCTATAATGTACACAGTAGGTGCTTAATCGATGCTTGATGATTGGAGGGATCATTCAAGAATAGTACACAGGTGCCTCCTAGGGCTGGGGCCCCCTCCTTGCCCTCCCCACCATCACTGCTTCTACCTTTCCGTGTGGCCTGAGGCCAGCCACTCCACTCTCCCAGGCCTCAGTTTCCCCATCTGTGCAGTGGGGGCCGAATGGATTCAGTCCATGATTCTGTGACACTCTGCAGCAGGTGCGGCCGGCAGGGGCTGGATCAGGAGTTGGGTCCCCGGAAGAGGCCCCCAGCTGCACTGCGGCCCCAGGGCTCCCTCAGCTTCCAGATAGCAGAGAGTCCCCCGGATTGGGGATGGGACAGGGAGGGGTGAGCTGGCCCGGGGCCAGTCGGTGCCTCATGGCCTCATCAGCAGAGGGGGTGGGACTGAGCGCCGGGGCGGCCCGTGGAGGGAGGGGCCACTGCTGAGGCTGGGGCAGGAAAGGGGAGGAGGCTGACTGCCTCTCTGGGCCTTAGTTTCTCCATCCGTCGGGCAGGGATGAAGTCACTTGCCATCCACACCCTCCTCGTGACCCCGGCCTGCAGGGAGAGAGGGGAGGGGAGGGAAGGGAAGCAGCTGCCAAGTGAGCCAGGACGTCCCGCTGCCAGCAGAGCATGAAGGCAGGCGGGTGAGCCCGGGCCCAGGCACCAGCTGAAGGAGGCTGGGTCCCACCCGGACCTTGTTTCCCTGGCTCTCAGGCCCCACTGGTTCTAGCATTTGGACCTCTGGGGTACCAAGGGTCTGGAGTCCTGGGTGTCTCCAGGTGCTGCGACAGCTGTGGTCAGCTGCATCTGTGCCCCTCTCTGAGCCCAGAGCCTGGGCTGGCCCAGGAAGCACAAGAAGTCTGCACCAGAAAGTTAAAACAAGGGGAGGGGGGCCGGGCGTGGTGGCTCAGGCCTGTAATCCCAGCACTTCGGGAGGCCGAGACGGGTGGATCACGTGAGGTGTCTGAGACAGCCTGACCAACATGGTAAAACCCCATCTGTACTAAAATACAAAAATTAGCCAGGTGTGGTGGTGCACGCCTGTAATCCCAGCTACTTGGGAGGCTGAGGCAGGAGAATCGCTTGAACCCAGGAGGCGGAGGTTGCAATGAGTCGAGGTGGGGCCACTGCTCTCCAGCCTGGGCGACAGAGCCAGACTCCATCTCAAAAACACCAACCAACCAAAAAATCAGGGGGAGGGGTCTTCACCTTCTGACAACCCCCACCAGACTCTGAGCCTGGCTTGAGGAGTGGGGGTCTAGGTGGTGAAAAGTGGGGGGCTACAAGGACCACCCTACCGCCTCCTCAATGAGCCCTCCCCAGAATCCAGGCCCCTCCCCGTGTGGGCTGCAGCCCGGACTGGCGGTGGGATCTCAAGGCAAGTCGCACCTCTGGGCCTCAGTTTCCCCCGGAGAAAGTGGGGGGATAGGAAGAAGGACTTACCGACTGCGCGGAGCCCAGGCAGCGCGTCCCGGCTCCCTGAGCGGCCCCAGGGCGAGCGGAAGCGGCGGGGCCCGAGGTGCCGGGCGGGTGCGAGACTGGGGCGGCCCCTCCCACCGCGGCCTCCGCAGGCGCGCCCAGGCCCGGGTCAGGAGGGGCGGCGGCCCCTGGCGCCCTCGCGCGGCAGGCGCGGATCTGCGGCAGGGGACTGCCGAAGCGCAGGGGCCCCGGAGCCGCGGGCTAGTGTCGGGCGCCCGGGTCCCGGTGACCTTGGCAGTCTCGGGCGGGGGCGCGGCGCGGGGACTGACTGCCCCCCTCTGCCCTGGGGCTGCTATTCCGGGCGCCGCGCTCAGGGCCCGGGAATGTGCACGAACCGAGGTCACCCCGCTCTGGGTCTGGGAGTCCCAGGCGCTGCCCCTACACCACCGAAGCCCGGATTGCGTCCTGCCGGGGTCCCCGTCCCCGGTCACAGCTCCCTCTCCTGGTCCTACCCCTCACCCCTCCCGCGGGGGGGTCGTCCTGCTTGTGGAGGGGGACTTCCGTGCGCCTGGGCTCCTATCGGGGGTTCCCCGATCCAGGTCCCGGCCACCCCCAGCGCAGGGCCCCAGCGCACTGGGGAGAAGCTCAGCCCCGGGGGCCGCGCGCGGGGGGCGGAGAGACCCTCCCAGCTGGCGCATTCCCGGGCGCTGCTGTCACCAGGGGACGCGCCCCACCCCACCGCCTGCCCTCCCTGCCGGGTCCCGGGGCTGCCAGCGGGGCTTTAGAGCCAGACCTGGGTCCAGGTGGTCCCTCTCCCTCACAGCCGCGGTCCCACCCTCTCCGGCCTCAGTTTCCCCATCCCAACAGTGGGGCCGTCAGGGGTCTCCACCGCGCACCTTCCATCTGGAACCCGGCTCTGTGCGGACGCGCAACGCGAGGGGGCACCCCAGGACTCCCCTACCGCACCCTTTCCTGCCGGGCATGTCTGCGCCGCCCTGTGCCCACCCACGCAGGAATGGGACCAGGTCCTGGGTTCTGGGCTCCAACAGCTTCTGGTGTCGCCCGCCGGCGCCCCCTGGCGGGCGGGGTGAAGGGCTGAGTCACTAAAGCGGGGGTGGGGGTGGGGGTGGGGGTGGGGGGGTGGGGAACTGCCCTTCTGCTCCCTGGGTTCCACCCAGGCTTGGCCTGAGCACCCTCTCCTCCAGGAAGCCCACCCGGCTGTCCCACAGCGCTGACCACAGAGAGAGAGGTTTGCTGGGGACATACAGGGTGCTGCTGGTTCAACTCAGTCAGCTCTCCAGCCTGTAGTATGTCACAGCAGAGCCACCCATATGCATTTATTGAGCACCTACTGTGTGCACAGCTGTGAAAAACCCAGCCAGTCCCAGGCCAGCAGGTAAGGCAGCCCCCCCGGAGTGCATAACCTCACCTTCTGACCTGACCTGGACTATTGGAGAAAATAGCCCAGGCCCACCACAGATGGCCCCAGGGGGTGTGGTTGTGGGGATGTCAGGAAGGCCCTCACCGAAGGGGTCAAGAGAGAAGGGCAGGCCTGGCGCAGCGGCTCATGCCTGGAATCCTAGCACAGTGGGAGGCCGAGGCAGGCGGATCACCTGAGGTCAGGAGTTTGAAGCCAGCTTGGCCAACATGGTGAAACCCAGTCTCTATTAAAAATACAAAACTTAGCCGGGTATGCCAGCAAGTGCCTGTAATCCCAGCTACTTGGGAGACTGAGGCACGAGAATCGCTTGAACCCGGGAGGCATAGGTGGCTGAGAGCCAAGATCACACCACTGCACTCCAGCCTGGGTGACAGAGCGAGACTCCATCTCAAAAAAAAAGAAAAAAAAGAAAAAAAAAAGAAAGAAAAAAAAGAAAGAAGTCAGCTCAGGGCATGTGCCAATGTGTCATTAGGACCATTGTATCCTCCTCAGATGTGCCCCATTCCCAGACGTCCAGTCCACAGAGCTCCATGGGGAGTGCAGACAGCAGGCCCTGTGCCCTGCAGGGAAGGTCTACAGAAAGCACAGTGCCCACAGGGAGCACACACAGCAGACATTATGCTCTGCAGGAAGGGCATACAGCAGGCGCTGCATCTTGTAGAAATGCATAGAGTAGGGCCGGGCACGGTGGCTCATGCCTGTAATCCCAGCACTTTGGGAGGCCGAGGCAGGTGGATCACGAGGTCAGGAGATCGAGACCATCCTGGCTAACACAGTGAAACCCCGTCTCTACTAAAAATACAAAAAATTAGCCGGGCGTGGTGGCGAGCGCCTGTAGTCCCAGCTACTTGGGAGGCTGAGGCAGGAGAATGGTGTGAACCCGGGAGGCAGAGCTTGCAGTGAGCCGAGATCGCGCCACTGCACTCCATTCTGGGCAACAGAGCGAGACTCTGTCTCAAAAAAAAAAAAAAAAAAAAAAAAAAGAAAAGAAAAGAAAGAAAAAGAAATGTATAGAGTAGACTGTCCTGCAAAGAAGTGTATACGGTAGATATGGCACCTGCAGAGGAGTGCATACAGCAGTCACTGCATCCTGTAGAGAGTATATACTGCGGGTGCTGCGTCCTGCAAGGAAGGTATACAGAAGGTGCAGTCTCCTGCAGGGAATGCATACAGTAGGCACTGAGTTCTATGGATAGTGTATCCCGCAGCCCCTGTGCCCTCCTGGGAGTGCATACCGCAGTCACTGCACCCTGCGTGGGGACTCTAGAGCTTGCAAGATTGGCAGAGGTGGTGGTGAAGGTGTGGAGTGCTGTCCCCCCGCCCCCAGTTCTTGTCCCCTACGGTCTCCCACCTCTGTCCTCTGGACGTCCATAGGAGGAGCTGGGAGCTCAGCCTAAGACACAGCGTGTAGCTGGAGGGGACGGCTGCTGAGGCTCAGAGGCTCCTGGAGTCCCAGTCGGGCGGGGTCCCAGCTTGCTACATTCCCCTACCCTTGCCTGGACCCCGACTCGGGAGTCAGCCAAGTCCCTCTACTCTGAGTTTCAGCCTGGACCCCCTCCTTGAAGCAGCATCAGGACTAGAGGGGGGACTGAGACACAGGTTCCCACGGATGTGGGTCAATTAGGTTCCATTTCCTGAGTGGTCATATGGCCTCGAGGCTTAAGGAGTGCCGTGATCTGCTGTGTGACTGGGCTACAGTGAACGCTATGGTACCGCGCACTTTGAACTGTGTTCACAGGGTAGATTTTATGGTAAGGGTTCTTACCATAAAATAACAAAAACAGTGGGACACAAAGGACCTTGGGAAGTGATGGTTAGGCCTGTCATCTTGAGTGTGGTGGCTGCATATGTGCAAACTCATCAAATTGCAGACACCGGGCTGGGCATGGTGGCCTCATGCCTGTAATGCCAGCACTTTGGGAGGCCGAGGCCAGTGGATCACCTGAGGTCAGGAGTTTGAGACCAGCCTGACCAACAAGGTGAAAGAAACCCCATCTCTACTAAAAATGCAAAAATTAGCCAGGCGTGGTGGCTCATGGTGGTAATCCCAGCACTTTGGGAGGTTGACATGGGTGGACTGCTTGAGGTCAGGAGTTTGAGACCAGTCCAGCCAGCATGGTGAAATCCATCTCTACTTAAAAAAAAAAAAAAAAAAAGCCAGGCATGGTGGTGCACGCCTGTAGTCCTAGCTACTCAGGAGGCTGAGGCAGGAGACTCTCTTGAACTTGGGAGGCGGAGGTTGCAGTGAGCAGAGATCACATCATTGCACTCCAGCCTGGCTTTTTTGAGCTCGGTCTCAAAAAAAAAAAAAAAAGGGCTGTCATGTTGGCTCATGTCTGTAATCCCAGCACTTTGGGAGGCCAAGGCTGGGGGATCACCTGAGGTCGGGAGTTCGAGACCAGCCTGGCCAACATGGTGAAACCCCGTCTCTACTAAAAATACAAAAATTAGCCGGGCATGGTGGCGTGCATCTGTAATACCTGCTGCGCAGGAGGCTGAGGCAGGAGAATCGCTTGAACCCAGGAGGCAGAGGTTGCAGTGGGCCAAGATCGCGCCATTGCACCCCAGCCTGGGCGACCAGAGTGAAACTCCGTCTCAACAAAAAAAGCAAACATTGCATATGTACATTTCTTCAATTATACCTCAGTAAAGTTGCTTTGGAAATTCAATTTAATTTTAAAAAGAAATGCCCCAAAGCAGATCTTGCGTCCTCTTGGTGGGCTTCTGTGTCCCCACAACTCCCGGTGGCCTCTCTTGATCCCTCAGGCCTGGACACGTGGTCCCAGGACACCTCAACCTCCTGCGTGGAGTGGGTGGGGCCTCCCCATCCCTGCCCCACAGATCCCTGGACCCCTCAATACCTGGGGCTGTCCATCTGTCCCTGGGCACCAGCAAGGGCCACGCGGAGTTGGGACCCTCCCCGGTTGGAGTCGCCCTATAGGACCCGGGACTCTGGACCCTCCTTGACCGCTGCTTGCCTGGTCCTCATTCTGTGCCGGCTTCTTGTGCACGCTCGGAATCTGTTCCCTGCAGACACCCAGTGCCCCGGGCACCGTCCGGAATTCCTGGAAGAGACCCCTTGCTTTCTTGCCCCTCTGCCCAGGCTCCAGGCCTTTGACACGGCTGTGCCTCCCCAGGGTGCCCCTTCCCCTCCACCTTCACATGCTGAAAACCACCTGTTCTCTGACCTTCTGGCAACAGATTGTGTATCACGTAACCCATGCTTGGCCAATCAGATAATTCCATCTCCCAGAGCTGGGGATTGGCTGGGGGATGACCACGTGACCCCAGTGGGCCAATGAGAGCCTGCCCTGGGACTTGAACTGGGCCATTGGAGGAAAAGGTGGTTTTCTGTGGCTGGGGTGGGCTCCAGGAATGGTGTGAGTTGAGGTATGCTGGACATTCTTGACTACTCCAGCAAATGCAAGGGAACAGATTTTTTTTTTTTTTTTTTAATCCTTCTCTTCCTTTCTTTTCTTTCTTCTTATAATTTTTTTGAGACAGGGTCTTGCTCTGTCGCCCAGGCTGGGGTGCAGTGGCCGGATCTCAGCTCACTACAAGCTCTGCCTCCCGGGTTCACGCCATTCTCCTGCCTCAGCCTCCCGAGTAGCTGGGACTACAGGCGCCCGCCACCTCGCCCGGCTAGTTTTTTTTGTACTTTTTAGTAGAAACGGAGTTTCACCGTGTTCGCCAGGATGGTCTTGATCTCCTGACCTCGTGATCCGCCCGTCTCGGCCTCCCAAAGTGCTTGAGCCACCGCGCCCGGCCCTTTTTTGATCTTTAGTAGAGACAGCATCTTACTATGTTGTCCAGGCCCAGGTTGGTCTCAAACTCCTGGGCTCAAGAGATCCTCTTACCTCAGTCTCCCAAGTAGCTGGAACTATAGGCATGCACCACCATGCCTGGCTAATTTTTGTAGTTTTTTGTAGAGATGGGGTCTCTCTATGTGGCCCAGTCTGGTCTTGAACTCCTGAGCTCAAGTGATTATCTGGCCTCAGCCTCCCACACTGCTGGGATTGCAGGCATGTGCCAACCACCCATGCCCAGCCCAAAAGGACAGATTTCTAGAAGGTTGTTTGAGTTCCTGGATTGAGCCTCATCTGAAGGCATTCGCCCTTTTTTTTTCACGTTAGCAATTTTGAGTTTCTTATTTATTTATTTTTTATTATTATTATTTTTGACAAGGTCTCACTCTGTCACCCAGGCTGGACTGCAGTGGTGCGATCTTGGCTCACTGCAACCTCTGCTTCCCAGGCTCAGGCAATCCTCTGGGATCAGCCTCCCACAGAGCTGAGACTACAGGTGAGTGCCATTATACCCAGCTAATTTTTGTATTTTTAGTA